AAAAAAAAAAAAAAATGCAAAAATTAGCCAGGTGTGGCACGCACCTGTAGTCCCAGCTACTTGGGAGGCTGAGGCGGAAGAATTACTTGAACTGTGAGGCGGTGGTTGCAGTGAGCCGAGATTGCGCCACTGCACTTCAGCCTGGTGTCAGAGGAGACTCCTCAAAAAAAAAAAGGCCAGGCACAATGGTTCATGTCTGTAATCCTAGCACTTTTGGAGGCCAAGGCAGGCAGGTCACGAGCTCAGGAGTTCGAGACCAGCCTGGCCAATATGGTGAAACCCCGTCTCTACTAAAAATACAAAATTAGCCAGGCGTGGTAGTGCATGCCTGTAGTCCCAGCTACTGAGAAGGCTGAGGCAGAAAAATCACTTGAACCCAGGAGGTGGAGGTTGTAGTGAGCCGAGATCGTGACACTGCACACCAGCCTGGACGACAGATTGAAAAAAAAAAAAAAGAAAGAAAAGAATGTACACATATTGCTGGACACAGTGGCTCCTGCCCATAATCCCAGCACTTTTGGTGGCCAGGGCAGGAGAATCACTTGAGCTCAGGAGTTTGAGACCAGCCTGGGCAACATAGTGAGACCTCATCTCTACAAAAAATTTTAAAAAATTAGCCATATGTGGTGGCATGCACCTCTAGTCCCAGCTACTTGGGAGGCTGAGGTGGGAGGATTGCTTAAGGTGGGGAGGTCAAGGCTGCAGTGAGCCAAGATCACGCCATTGCATCCAGCCTGGGCTACAGAATGAGGCCCTGTCTCAAAAAAAAAAGTACACAGGCCAGGCGCAGTGGCTCACACCTGTAATCCCAGCACTTTGGGAGGCCGAGGCAGGCAGATCTCGAGGTCAGGAGATCAAGACCATCCTGGCCAACATAGTGAAATCCCATCTCTACTAAAAATACAAAAAAATTAGCTGGGCGTGGTACTGCACGCCTGTAGTTCCAGCTACTTGGGAGACTAAGGCAGGAGAATTGCTTGAACCCAGGAGGCAGAAGTTGCAGTGAGCCGAGATCGCACCACTGTACTACAGCCTGGGCGACAGTGCAAGACTCCGTCTCAAAAAAAAAGAAAAAAAAAGTACATGTAGGCCATTGTCTGCAGCAGTTAAATCCACAAAAGACAGGCTGCCTGGATCTTTGCAGGTGTGTGCGTGGCATATGTGAAGAGAAAGAGACTGGGAGGTGGACGTGTTCCACGGTGAGTGGCCCCCGGGGCTCGTTTGGCAGGCTCCGGGGTTAAGGCGGTGGTAGAGAAGGAACGGTGAGTGAGGCTCAGGAAGTCCTGCCCACTGAACACACCTTCAAAGCAGCAGGCCAGCAGTTCCTAGTCAGGAGTTTCTGTAGTAGTACCATGATGAAGAATCAACGCCTTCTGACCATGTTTCTCTGTGCTTTTGTTAAATACAGAATTACCTGGACAATTTCTGGCCTGATTTAAAAGCTGCCCGCGAGCTTTGTGATTCTATCCTTCAGTCTCGACGGGAGAGAGAGAATGAGAGTCAGGAGAGCCATGGGAAGGAGTATCCAGAACATCTTCCCCTGGAAGTGTTAGAAGCTGGGATTAAATCTGGACGCTATATCCAGGTGAGGGTGCTGATTTAGAATGTGTCAGGGCTGGGCGTGGTGGCTCATGCCTGTAATCCCAACACTTTGGCTAAGGCTGGCAGGTCACTTTAGCCCAAGAGTTGGCAACTAGACTGGGCTATATAGTGAGACCCTGTGTCTACAAAAAATTTTAAAAATAGTCAGGCGTAGTGGTGTGTACCTATAGTCCCAGATTACTCGGGAGGCTGAGGCAGGAGGATCACTTCAGCCTGGATGGTTGAGGGAGCCATGATTGTGCCACTGTCCTCCAGCCTGGGCAACAGTAAGAACCTGACTCAAGGAAAAAAAAAAAAAAAAAAAAAAATCTGTCAGGACCAGCCAGTGTGTTTGCTTCTCTTTTTACTGCCTGCTGTCACAGGCCTCTGATCTCACAGACTGCAAACAAGAAGGGCATGAGTAAGTCAGGGCTGTCGATGTTTCAGGTGACTTGGGAGTCATTCTTTCTGTAGACGCTGGTTGTCCGGCTTGAAGCGACCCTGTGATGAAGTCCTTAATTCTGTTACATGTTGAGCAACACACAAGCAGAATGCGGAGGCAGCCTGGTAAATGCCTGCTGTCAGTAGGAAAACAACATGTCTCTTTCAATCAAGGTCTGGAGCTTTGGCGATATTGTAAAATTGGTGACGTTTAGCTCCTTTCCTCCTTTGCCATTTTTTCTCTGCCCCTTTCAGGGGCCTCTCTGTGATCCTCCCAGGACCCTAGAACCCAAATGCTGTCAGGGACGGAATCAGATACAATTTTTATTCAGATTTCAAGTTTTACATACACTCATTTATGTGTGCATGTGTGTGTAGCTCTGCACAGTTTTTTTGTTTGTTTGTTTGTTTGTTTGTTTGTTTGTTTGTTTGTTTTGAGACGGAGTTTCGCTCTTGTTACCCAGGCTGGAGTGCAATGGCGCGATCTCGGCTCACCGCAACCTCCGCCTCCTGGGTTCAGGCAATTCTCCTGCCCCAGCCTCCTGAGTCGCTGGGATTACAGGCATGTGCCACCATGCCCAGCTAATTTTTTGTAGTTTTAGTAGAGACGGGGTTTCACCATGTTGACCAGGATGGTCTCGATCTCTTGACCTCGTGATCCACCCGCCTCGGCCTCCCACAGTGCTGGGATTACAGGCGTGAGCCACCACGCCCGGCCTCTGCGCAGTTTTATCACATGCATAGGTATGAGTATCCACCACCACAATCAAGACACAGAACTGTTCTTTCATGGATTTTACATTTCTAATGAGCAACTCAATCAATTGTCAGTCACAACCTAAGAACATCACTCCAAAGCCCCTCCCGGAGAGTGTGGGGATTTTAAATGAGAGGCTGATGTTTCCAACTTGGTAGTAAAGTTTATAGCATTCCTGGGAGGAGATTTTAAGATAGAAGATTTTTGAAAGACTACTCATCAGTTACATTAGATAGAGCCTGGTACTTTCAGCGCTTTGTATAGCTAAGAGTAGTTCAAAATGATGGTGTTTTTCTCTGGAGGAAATAAATCTTAGTGATTAATATTATTCCTAGCCAGGCACGGTGGCTCACGCCTATAATCCCAGCACTTTGGAAGGCCAAGGTGGATCACAAGGTCAGGAGTTCAAGACCAGCCTGGCCAACATGGTGATACCCTGTCTCTACTAAAAATACAAAAACTTAGCTGGGCATAGTGGCGCATGCTTGTAATCCCAGCTACTTGGGAGGCTGAGGCAGGAGAATTACTTGAACCTAGGAGGCAGATGTTGCAGTGAGCCGAGATAGTGACAGAGCAAGACTCCGTCTTGAAAATATATATTAGAAAAAGAAAAAAAAACACAAGAAAACAAAAAAAAGATATATCTATTATTCCTAAATAATAATTATATATATATATAATTTCTAAAGGGATCACAAACCTTAAAAGAATATTATGGGGATGTTTTCACATAGTTTTAAAAAACTGGACCTTTTGGAGATAAACCAGGCAGAAAAAAACATTTTTCACATAGATTTTTTATTATGATTTTAGGGAATTCTGAATGTCAACAAACACAGAGCCCAAATAGAAGCTTTTGTTCGACTTCAAGGAGCCAGCAGCAAAGATTCAGGTTCAGTATAAACCTTACATAAAGTTCCATACCACTCTTTCATTCTGACATTATACAATGAAGAAAGCAAAGTTGAAATTGTCATGTCAGATGTGCCCTGTCCTGTGTGCCGGTATCCACTGCCTATGTGGGATTGTGGGGGCTTTTCCCCTAGTTTTTTTTTTTTTTCTATAATTTCTGATTTTATCATATTAAATTTAAACTACAATACAGAGAAGCAAAGTAATTTGCCCAGGGTCACACTCCTGGTAAGTGGTGGAGCTGAACTTGTAGCCAAGGCAGTTTGGCTGTGATTTTAAAATAATACTCTGTGCTGCCTCGATGCGATATATTACTTTATTGGAATAATTTTTTTAAATAATAAAAACGAAAAAAATGTGTAAATAAGTTGTATCATAATCAGGTGTAGTTCTTAGTTTTGTAATGACAGGGTGAGAAAGAAACCCTGGGAGTCAAAGGGGCATGGCCGGGTGGAGGGAGAACGAACAGCTGGCTTTCTGTGGGCCGTTGCTAGTCAGAATTCTCCCTGTCGGTTCTGCCTTATTTATAGCTCCTCAGCCCACTGACCACTCCCTTGGCTGTGTAGGATCCTGAAGGTATTGGGCACAATTCCAGCATAGGCTCACATAATTGCATGCAGGGAACTAACACCTTTTTAAAAGGTGGTGAGGTGGGGGGGGATTATTTTTTAAAAGATGATTGAAGGTGGCGCTTAGGAAAGCTCATTATACAGAATGACACAGTGCCAGCAATTCTTCATTCCTAGCCTGCAGAATGAAAGAAGTTTGACTTTACCTCTGAAGGGAAGAAGCTTTATTTGCAGGAGTGCTGATTAGACTTGGAATATATTATGCGTGGAATGCCTCACTGATGTGACATTCCCCTGGCTTTATGGATTTTTTTCTGTGCTGCCCCAAACACAGATTTAGTCAGTGACATCCTAATCCACGGGATGAAGGCTCGAAACCGCTCGATTCATGGGGATGTGGTAGCTGTGGAGCTGCTCCCTAAAAATGAATGGAAAGGGAGGACTGCAGCCCTGAGTGAGAATGACAGTGACGACAGAGCCCCGGGCGAGTCCCCAAGTGAGCCCATGCCTACGGGTGAGCCCGCTGGAGAGCCACTCCAGTGTCCATTTTCCTTGTGGAATTATATTTTTCTTCTCTTTAGCAAGCCAGAAATACCGCCTTTATTTAAGTCATTAATTAATTTAAATGGACAAATAAAAACTGTGTATTTATTGTGTATAATATGATGTTTTGAGATAATACATTGGAGAATGGCCATTAACCTCACACACTGTGTGGTGAGAACACTTAAGATCTACTCTCAGCGATTTTCAAGAATACAGTACATTGTTATTAACTCTAGTCACAAGTTGTAGAATACTACTTTCTCACACGAGATACAGTCTCTGCCCCTCCATCATCAGTTTCCCCTCTCTGCAGGTTTATTTCATCTCAGCACCCAAACATGCTGTAATGGCTTCCATCTTAAAATCAAACCAAAAATCCTCTCTGGGTCCCACATCCCTTTCAGCTACTGCCTCTTATCATGAAAGTCAGAGTATAGTTAACTCCATGTTACCTCTTCCTCCCTGCTGGCCTCTCATACCTGCCATTGTGACATCTTCCAACCCCTACCCTCCATCCGAATTGCTCTTTCCAAGGTCACCAATGACCTCATTGCCGAGCACTGGTCGGCCCCCGTCAGCTGGAACGGTCAGCAGCATTTGGCTAGAGGGCTTCTGCTTTGCCTTGGACTTCTCTCGGTTCTCCCACCCGCTGGCTGCTCTTCTCAGATCCTCTCCTGGCTCTCCATCTCATTGTCCTCTTGGATGTGCAAGGGCCCCATGCTGAATCTCCTGTCCTCTGCACTGTCTCCCTCGGGGATCTCCTGCAGTCATTTGATTTTGTATCTCCAGCCCTTCTTCAGCTTCTGGTTTTGTTTACTCGGTGGTCTATTTGACATCTTCCCCTGGATGTCTAATGGCATCTCATACTTAACGTGTCCCATGCAGACTCCTGATTTTACCCCCAGACCTGCCCTTCCCAGCATGTTCCCCAGTTTCAGTAAAGGGCAAATTCGTCAACCCAAGACACCTTGGGGTTATCATTTCACTCATCAGCAAATGCTGGCAGCTCCAACTCTAATGCGTGGCCTGAATTCAGCCACCTGCCACACCTCCCCCACAGCTCTCCCGCTTCAGTCCACTGGCACCTCGGGACTATTTCAGCCGCCTCCGGGCTGCTCTCCCTGCTCTCACCCTTGCTCCTCCTGGTGTAGTCTTTTCTCCACTCAGAGGCACAGTGATCCTTGAGAAAGTGAGTTGGGGAGCCAGGCGTGGTGGCTCACACCTGTAATCCCAGCACTTTGGAAGGCCGAGGTGGGTGGATCACAAGGTCAAGAGATCGAGACCATCCTGGCCAACATGGTGAAACCCCGTCTCTACTAAAAATACAAAAAAAATTAACTGGGCATGGTGGCACGTGCCTGTAGTCCCAGCTACCCGGGAGGCTGAGGCAGGAGAATTGCTTGAACCCAGGAGGCAGAGGTTGCAGTGAGCCGAGATCGCGCCATTGCACTCCAGCCTGGGTGACAAAGCAAGACTCTGTCTCAAAAAAAAAAAAAAAGTTACCCGTCTTTGGCTGGGTGTGGTGGCTCACACCTGTAATCTCAGCACTTTGGAGGCCAAGGTGAGTGGACAACCTGAGGTCAGGAGTTCTAGACCAGCCTGACCAACATGGCAAAACCCCGTCATTACTAAAAAAATACAAAATTAGCCAGGCGTGGTGTTGGGTGCCTGTAATCCCAGCTGCTCGGGTGGCAGGAGAATCACTTGAACCCGGGAGGTGGAGGTTGCAGTGAATGGAGATTGTGCCTTTGTACTCCAGCCTGGGCAACAAGAGTGAAACCGAATTTCAAAAAAACAAAAAAATTTACCCATCTTTGCTGGGCATGATGGCATGCGCCTATAGACCCAGCTACCCAGGAGGATGGATTGAGCCCAGGAGCTCAAGACTGTCGTGCACTGTCATAATGCCTACGAATAGCCAGTGCACTATAGCCTGGGCAACATAGTGAGATAGTGTTTCAAAAGAGAGAGAGAGAGAAAAAGAGAAAGAAGGAAGGAAGGGAAGGAAGGAGGGAGGGAGGAAAGAAGGAAGGAAGGAAGGAAGGAAGGAAGGAAAACTTTTCTTTCGATACAGAGTACAATGGCACAATCTTGGCTCAAAAAGTGTTTTTAGATTATCCATCTTTAAAATAAAATACTAAGAAGGAAAATCTTTAAATGTATCTTCTTTTTTTTTTAACCACTAAACTAACAAGGATAAACATATCTTTTCTTGTTGTTGTGTCTGTGTGTGTGTGTGTTTTGTTTGTTTTTGAGACAGAGTCTCACTCTGTTGCCCAGGCTGGAGTGTAGTGGTGCCATCTTGGATCAATGCAACCTCCGCCTCCCAGGTTCAGGCAGTTCCCACCTCAGCCTCCCAAGCAGATAGGATTACAGGCATGAGGCACCACATCCAGCCTAATTTTTGTACTTTTATTAGAGACAGGATTTCACCATGTTGGCCAGGCTGGTCTTGAACTCCTGGCCTCAAGTGATCCACCCACCTTAGCCTCCCAAAGTGCTGGAATTAGAGGCATGAGCCACCACACCCAGCTGTTGTTATTGTTAATAAAAGCTTCCTTTCAAAAACATTCTTGATTTGGGTGGATGTGCTAAAAAAAAAAAAAAAAATAGGACACAGTATTTCTTGTTCCTTTCCTTACTGCTGAGGTGGTCAGAGGCCAGATAGGTGGCAACTAACCAATTAATGCTTTGTTTTGTTTTCCCAAAGGTCGAGTGGTGGGCATACTTCAGAAGAACTGGCGGGATTATGTGGTGACATTTCCATCCAAAGAAGAGGTCCAATCTCAGGGCAAAAATGCTCAGAAAATCCTGGTTACACCTTGGGATTACAGAATTCCCAAAATTCGAATTAGCACTCAACAAGCAGAAGCCCTCCAGGTATCTGGCATTCTACCTCTACTGTGGGATCTCTACTCTTCTCTGTTCTTTGCCAGCCTTTTAGCAGTACCAGAAAGCATCGTTAATTCCTTTGCATATAAGGAAATAAATTATTGATGGCATCTGGCATTCCAAAATACTGGGATGTGTTTTTGGGTGTTGTTTTTTTTTTCAAGATGGAGTCTCACTCTCGCCCAGGCTAGAATGCAGTGGCGTGATCTCGGCTCCCTGCAGCCTCCACTCCTGAGTTCAAGCGATTCTCCTGCCACAGCCTCCTGAGTAGCTGGAATTACAGGCACCGGCCACCCTGCCTGACTAATTTTTATATTTTTAGTAGAGACGGGGCTTCACCATCTTGGCCAGGCTAGTCTCGAACTCCTGGACCTCGTGATCCACCCACCTCCGCCTCCCAAAGTGCTGGGATTACAGGCATGAGCCACCATGCCCAGCCATGTTTTTTTGTTTTTTAATTCATTTTTTGTAAAGATGGGGTCCCACTTTGTTGCACAGGCTGGTCTTAAACTCCTGACCTCAGGCAATCCTCCCACCTTGGTCTCCCAAAGTGCTGGAATCACAGCCGTGAGCCACCGTGCCCAGCCCCAACATTCTGGGTTTTTTTATTTCTTTATTTTTTTTCTTTTTTGTTTCTGAAAAGCTGTAAAAAAATTCTGTTTTTTTAAAAGACTCTAAATATATGAGAACTATCCATTAAGTAGTCTGTGGTGAATAAATTCAGGCCAGAGAGAAATTGTCCTAGAAAGAGCTGTGTAGGACAACCAGAGAGAACATACATTATCCAGCTGTCCAACACAGAAACTTCCAATAGATACACTTTGCCAACACTAACAAGCTTTCCTCCAGCAAGCAATATAGAAATACGATCACTCTGCCCTGTAGGGATGATGTACTGGTACTTCACAGAATTGATTATCCATAAAGGAATATAGCACTGGAGAGAAGACATAAACAAGAAAGTTAGAAATTAACCTTTACTGTGTCAGAGTATGGGCATTGCCCAATTTAATTCCCCCTGATACTTCACAGTTTGTAAATGAGACACTAAAGGAGGCTGTCTCCAGCCAGTTACCTGGCCGTTGTGCTTTTTACATCTTGAAGCCTTATTGCAGGCTCTTCAGGCCAATTGCATCCATTAAAACAGTTACCCTGTTTTCCATTCCCATGGTTTGCTGGAATTTTTGGGTAGTGGGGATTCAGTTTACACCGATACCTTCTTCTCCACCAGAGACCATCTTAGGAGGTCTTCAAAGAGGCCATGCACAGTGGCTCATGCCTGTAATTCTAGCATTTTGGGAGGCCAAGGTAGGCGCATCACTTGAGGCCAGGAGTTCAAGACCAGCCAGGCCAACATGGTGAAACCCCATTTCTACAAAAAAAATAATAATAATAATAATACAAAAATTAACTGGGCATGATGGTACTCACTTGTAATTCCAGCTACTTGAGAGGCTGAGGCAGGAGGATCAATTGACCCCAGGAGGCAGAGGCTGCAGTAAGCCAAGACAGTACCACTGCACTCTAGCCTGGACGACAGAGTGAGACTCCATCTCAAAAAAAAAAGACTTCAAAGAAATTAGGAGCTTCCTGCCACACACGAAACATTAAGATTGTTGTTTTAAAACCTAATTTGGACCATCCATAATTCAGTTTTCTCCTTGGGTTGCAAGTGTTAACTAGAATGTATTACAATCGGCTCTCTAGCAGACTAAAATTTCTAGTCCTCTTCACTGATGTAGAGAGCTAATACCTCCTTTCAAAGCACTGGGCCAAGCATGTCGTACCACCTGGCAATTTAGTAATAGGAAGAATGAAAACCAAAAAAAACCCTACTGTGCACCACTTTTTGCCATTGGCCACTCTCTTTGGAAGCCACTGCTGTGTGCCTCGTTTGTTTGATGCCTCTGACTGACGCACTCACCTGGGTACTCAGCTGTGTTTTGGTTTTTTCCCTTTGTGCAGGACTTCAGGGTGGTGGTGCGCATTGATTCCTGGGAGTCAACGTCTGTGTATCCAAATGGACACTTTGTGCGTGTTTTAGGAAGAATCAGAGATCTGGAAGGGGAAATTGCAACCATCCTGGTGGAAAACAGTATTTCAGTTGTCCCTTTCTCGGAAGCTCAGGTCTGATTTTCCAGAAGCCTTTGATCTGATGACATTTTCTTTTTGCTTTTGTTGTTGTTTGTTTCATCATTAAGAAAGACAAATCTTATTAGAGGAGGCATTCTGTTTTCCGGGTAAAGTTTTTAAAAATAGAAAAAAAAGAAAGAAAGAAAAATCTTTGTGCTATGTAACAACCCACTGGGTAAAGCCACAGATAATGGAAAAATCTCACTCCTCTTTATTCTATATTTGGACCAAACTGAAGTCAGTTTCAAGTGTAGAATTAGTTTTCTATAGCCTCACAGCTCTCAAATTTTTCTATTTTCCACTGGGCTTAAAAATGATATGTCAGTGTCTTATAGTCAGTGTACATCGATCCCCAGTAGCTTCAAGGATACCCAGCTTCAGACCCAACTGAGCTCCACTCTCTGTCCAAATCATTTAACCAGAGGCCACATAAAGCTGCAGGGAGTGGATTCCTGGGATCCATACATCTCCGACCCATGGGTCAAAAATTACGGTCATTATGAAACACTTTTTGTGACATTTACAGAAAACAAAAAGCCCATAAACATAAAACGTCAGCTATTTCCATCACTTTTTGATCTTTTAAAACCCTCATACATTTTCTGTGTTCTTCTTACATGACTGTATTTGTCATGTGCACACACTAATTTCTGTTCTGCTTCTTTCGCTTAAAATTATTTTTATATATTGATATAGCCTACTTATTTTAATAGCTTCGGTGAATTACAGAATATTGATGTACCCTAGTTTGCTTAGGCATTTCTCAATTGCTGGGCATTCAGGTGTTTAATTTTTCAGTATTATAAAAAACAAATGTAGGCCGGGCGCGGTGGCTCACGCCTGTAATCCCAATACTTTGGGAGGCCTAGGTGGGTGGGTCACAAGATTGGGAGTCAAAACCAGCCTGGCCAACATGGTGAAATCCCGTCTCTGCTAAAAAATACAAAAATTAGCGTGTGTGCCTATTAGTCCCAGCTACTCGGGAGGCTGAGGCAGGAGAATCACTTGAACCCGGGAGGCGGAGGTTGCGGTGAGCCGAGATTGCGCCACTGCACTCCAGCCTGGGCGACAGAGTGAGA